CATGGCGGTTTGATCAGCGGAGGCGGCAGCTGGGTTGCTGAGGGAGTGAGGAGAGGAGGAGGCAGGGAGGTGGAGAGGTAGGGAATCTGATCGGCCCTGATCACTGGTCAGGGCTAGAGACCCTGCCTGTGCACAAATTTCATACACTGGGCCTCTAGTTTGTATATAATAAAACAGAGTTATCAATGTATTTCAAATGATGTGATTGGATTTCAGGATTATTCTTTCTCATACATCATACTTTTTTTTTTTTTTACTACAAAAGTAATTCCTGTATAAAAATTTAAGATATATACAAATCACAAGAAAAAAACTTAACCATTGATAATCACCCAAAGAAAGCATTGATCAACTTTTTAGAATATTCAAAGTATATTTTGTTATATTATCTTTTCATTAAGCTTTTTATTTTGAGAGACTTAATAGATTCATATGTAATTCTAGGAAACAATACAGACAGACCCTGGGTACTCTTTATCCAATTTACTCCAATGGTAACATCTTGCAAAACTACAGGAAAATATCAGAGGCAAGATATTAACATTAATACAGTCAAAATATAAAACATGTCTTTCACTACAAGAATCCTACAGATTGCCCTTTTATGAAGATTGAATCTGAGAATTCCCAAGTTCCATATTGAATAGCAAAACTATAATAGAGTACCACACTATGACATGAATTTAATTCTATTGTAGATTATATTCATTCCCTTAACACTGAACATTTCCATTATTCCTCAACATCAGCAACATAAATGACTTTTATATTATAAATAACTAATCAGTCCTACCTCCACCTTTACAAAGGAGAGAAGGATCTATGATAAGCATAAAAATACTATGTGATAAAATATAAAAATAGCTAATATTTATTCAACACTTTCCATGTGCTAGACAGTTATTTATTTAAAGAGCATTACATCTTTTGTTTCTCACAATCCATAACAGCCGGGGAAGAGACAATGGGAAGGAGGGTAGCAAATTCACCTCTTGGCGTTACAATAGGATTGCATTTATACCAAGCAGGTATAAACTTATCTAAGAAGAAACTGAGGCTATAGGGCATTGGTTAATGATGTAGTAGAAATACCAGGGAACAGTGGAAAGTATGGGCAGTGGGAGAAGTTTGGTTAAGGACAAATAAGTATAAAGCATTATGGGAATAAAGGGGAGGTAGAGGGAATTGATCAGAGTACTTACTTACACTGATTGATGAAAACAGGCATGAGAATCAGGGTGGCTTTAATTTCTGTTGCCTTTTTGAGAAAGGTCAAAGGACCTAGACTGCCCAGTCTAGAGCAAAGTCAGGTTTAATGGTCATAGTCTATGAGTTCCTGGACAGAACTAGCATCAAATACTGGCTCCACCATTCACTAGATGTGTGTGGTTGGGCTACTTACAGCACCTCCCAAAGCCTCAGCGCCCAGGTTTATAACATGAGTAGAATAATAGCAGTTAGTTGAGGAATCTTGTGCAGTCAATCTCTGTAGCACTATTGAAGACTTGGAGGATTCTCATGCCTTCAGCAAATTGTGTGATCCCTCAGAGTCTCTATTTCTTGATTTTAAAGGTGGAATAGCAATGCCTTATTGGGGGGGGGGTGTTGCAACAATTCATTGAGATATTGTTTATGAAGGTGATTGGAAAAATAAGAGGTAATGCTAATATTCTTTAATGACATTGAGCCACGATTGTGTTCTGTAACTGTGTCTAAATGCACCATAAAAGGGTCCTTAAAGAAGACAGCCCCACTCTATTCTACTTTTTTCCTCTATCAGTCTGGGTTAATCTTGCACGCCAATTTAGCTTCCTTAATCCACCTGGTCCTATTAAGAGATCATTCCTGTTAGTGTCCTCACCCCAGTTTGTGGGAGAGAAATCTTGTCCAGATTTTTCCTGATGGCCACAAAAGTCAAACTCTTATTCTCTTTGGCTTGCTCTAAAAATTCATATCCAGTCATTGCTCCAATTTTATTCACCAGAGATTCTGGATGCCATAGACTGATCTTGCAAGAGTTTTTGGCTTTGGGGCTCATCTTTGAAAAATCTACCCCTGGTGTACTTTTTTCTTCTCTGGGGTCTTAGGAGGAAAAAAGTAATGAATTAGGCAGTGTAGTAAGTTGAATACTGCCTCCCAAAAAAGATGTGTCCAAGTCCGAACCTCCAGCACCTATGAGTGTAAACTTATTTTAAAATAGGGTATTTGCAGATGCAATTAAATTCAGGATCTCAGCATGGGATTATTCTGGATTTATAGTGGGCTCTAAATCTAATAACCAATGTAGGTACAGGAGAAAGGAGAGGGGGATTTGACCACGGAGACCCAGAGGAGAATGCCATATGAAGATGGAGTCAGAGTTTGCAGTGATGCCTCTACAAGTCAAGGAATGCCAAGGATACTCACCATCCCTAAAAGCTAGGAGAGAGGCCAAGCAACACATTCTTCCTCATGCTTATTACTTATTATTGCTTAAACCAGATGTTTGAGACTGAGAGGAGCAGCTGCCCCCGGACCCAGGACCCACGGCCAGTTTCCGTCCCTGGAGGTGGCAGGGCCCAGGCCTGCTCGGCTGGCCCACGGGCTCCCAGTTGACCCACTGAAGCTGATTTTTTTTTTTCTTTTTCACTTCAGGCTCAGTTTCTTCTTAGATAAGTGTATACCTTCTTGGTATAAATGCAATCCTATTGTAACGCCAAGAGGTGAATTTGCTACCCTCCTTCCCATTGTCTCTTCCCCAGCTGTTATGGATTGTGAGAAACAAAAGATGTAATTAATTGTTAAGAACAAAAGATGGTCTGATGTAAGCATCAGACCAGCAGAGCCTTTTATATCCTCCAGGTCTGGTTCGTCCGTTAGCGTGGAAAAG